GAGAGAAATGAAAAACGACTTTTATTCTTTTTTCATTTTTTATTTTTCGTTTTCACATCTCTTGAGCAGAGAGAAAGAGAGAGAGACATTAATGGGTTTTTTATACTGAAAATAATCTCTTGATAAAACTACCAAACGCATTTCTAAAAATAATTTATGTCTGAGATTGAAAACGTTTTCATTTTCATTTTCATACAAAAAACAAAATCATTTTAGAACGAGTTTTAAACGCACCTTATGTTTCACGAACGCGGTAGTTTTGGCATGCTTTGAAAGCACAAGTGGGTGTCAATGTCCGACCCAAATTTTTTTGTCTAATTTTAGTGTCTAATCAATTGCATCTTTGTGTCTTGTAAAATATTTGAACTGCTTTTTAATTATTTTTTTGTACTTATCATGGATGATGTAGAATGATATAATTAGTTAGACATTAATTGAGACACTAAAAATTAGATAAAAAATCTACCGCAGTCAATGTCATACAATAGTGGTATATATCGGATATCAGATGTGACTGCAAAACAAGTTTCTTGTCTATAAAAGAAAGTAAAATTGGGTGTTTCCAGCATATATAAGTTGCATAGTAGGTCATCACTTGCTTCTCATGTGTCACTCGCTATCTCAAATTAAAAATCCCTCTTCAATTTTACACACATGAAAATTGATAACAAAAATTTTTTATTTAGGAATATTTTTATTTATAAAATTAAATGGTTACTCAAAAAGAGCTCGGGGGAAATTCTATGTATACTAAAATCTGAAACATTCAGTAATTAATAAAGTAAATTGAAGATTAGAAGTACTCTCTTCACTTCACCCCCCAAAAACGACACAGAAATCGGGAAAAAAATAAAAAATAAAAAACAACTATAGGGAGTCCATAATATAAAAGTAACAATAACTATCTGGAATTAAAATTCATTCGGCCATACAAAGAAAACTAAAAGCTAAAACAAAAGAAAAAAGGTGCAAATTAGTATGCATTTGCATGCAAAATCCAATGATAAGTATGACAACCGAACACGTACCACGAATATTCCCACCATAAACATTAATCTCGACAGTCCTTTATTCTTTTTTATTAACGTAGTAATCTCCATCTCCATAATTCTTCCTACGGAAGTCAATAAATAGAACCAAAAGCGCAGAGTTAAAAAGAATATTGAAGCACCAGCTCCACGTCCCGGAGCAACCCTCGCCGGAGAAGTGGAAGTAAATGACAGCCACCACGCCGAGGAAGCTGATCTTGAACTGCGCAATCTGGCAGTCCGTCACCAGCCTCTTCCACGCCGGCCTCAGCCCCACCGCGCAGAGCGCGTAGTAGCCGTACATGACCACGTGCACCGACGCGTTCAC